GCGCCACACTGCCTGAGTGATCATTGCATTTTTCACTGCTGCACATTTTTTTTAAAACCCCCAGTTTTAAAAAAAATCCAGTTTCACTTAAGAATGTTCTTGATAAAGCAGCACAAATTGTTAATTTTATTAAGTCCCTTGAGTATATGTCTTTTTTGTTTTTTGGTTTTTTTAGAGACAAGGTCTCACTGTCACCCAGGCTGGACTGACACTGGCACAATCATGGCTCACTGCAGCCTCAAACTCCTGGGCTCAAAAGATCCTCCTACCACAGGTTTCCAAGTAGCTAGGACTATAGGCATGCCACCATGCCCAGCTAATTTTTTTTTAAATATTTTGTGAAGACAGGGTCTGCTATGTTACCCAGGCTGTTCTCAAATTCCTGAACTCCTAGGAATTTGAGAGGTCAAGGCGATCCTCCCACCTTGGCCTCCCAAAGTGTTGGGATTATAGGAATGACCCACTGGGCCCAGCCACATGGCTGCTTCGTGTTCTGTGTTGCTGACTGGAAAGTATGCAAAAGCATTTTTGCTGCATACTGTGCTATGAAGATGGTCTCAAGGAAAAGCGCTTGTGTGGTTGAGTTGTGAGCTGCACTAGCCACTTTGTCATGGAACGCCATTTTATCTGAAAGAACAAGTGGCAGACAAACTATGATGACTGAGACTTGGGTAACTGACAGATGTTTCCTTGACTGAAGGATGCTTATCACCGAAAGGAAGAGAACCGGTAGTCTTTGCTGCCAATGGTAAAACCGAAGCTCTCAAGTGACAGCTTTAGAATTTTGGAAAACTTGTATCTGCAACTGTGACCTTAATATCCTTCCAACACTTATATATGCTTTTCTGGTAAGATTGGTGGTGATGCTATTCTAGTTACCCGTCAGACAATGTAATCTCTAATTTTGCCACTGAAATTTACCAAGATCTCCTTTGTGAAAAACTATATTTCATTTATAAATAAAGATACTGGAATTCTAAATAGAATAGAATCAAGCACCTTATCAATAAACCACATAGGGCTTATTCCAGGAATGCAAAAATATTTTCATGGCAGGAAATTAACATATCACTACACTCATGTATCACTTAACCATGGACATGTGTTCTGAGAAAAGCATTATTAGGCAATTTTGTCCTTGTTCAAACATCACTTAAATAGAATAAAAATATTTCCTAAAAAGCCTCCATCAAATCCACTACAGCATTAAAACCATTTCATTTAAAATCAACATATAGGCTGGGCACAGTGGCTCACACCTGTAATCCCTGCACTTTGGGAGGCGGAGGTGAGTAGATCACTTGAGGTCAGGAGTTTGAGACCAGCCTGGCGAACATGGTGAAACCCCTTCTCTACTAAAAATGCAAAAAAATTAGCTAGAAGTAGTGGCTGGAGCCTGTAATCCCAGCTACTCAGAAGGAGCCAGGAGAATTGTTTGAACCCAGGAGGCAGAGTTTGCAGCAAGCCAAGAATACGCCACTGCATTCCAGCCTGGGCAACAGAGTGAGACTCAGTCTCAAAAAAAAAAAAAAANAAAAAAAAAAAAAAACTAAATAAAAAAAAATAAAATCAACATACAGACAGGAAACTTTGCTCTGACCATTACAATTTGACTTTGTCGTGAAAGATTTAGTAAATGCAATAAAAAGGAAGTAAACAACTGAAATAAACACTTGAAAAGAAGAAATAAATATTTTTGCTGATGATATGAAAATCTAAGAGATCCTGAGTTTCTAAATAAAATTAAAATTAATAAGATAATACAAGAGTATGAGGATATAGGATAATGAAACATATTATTAGCTATTATCTATTCTAATAAACATATATAAATGGAAAAGAGAAAAGTATCCTCTTCATAAAATAGTGAACAAAAATATCTAGGGATATAAGTAATAATATAGCTACATCTATATGAATAAAATTCAATCTTAGTAAAGGTCTCAAAACAAGGTCTGAACAAATGGAAAGATATACCACGTTCTTGGATGTGAAACGGAATATGTCATAAAATTATCAACTCTCCCAAAGAAATATATAAATTTTATGTAATTACGATTAGAATTGCAACAGTCTTGGGAAGGAGTGAGGAGGATAAATGGATAAAATGATTTAAAATTTCATAAGGAGTACATTTATTCACTTGAGAATAAATGCTCAAGAATAGCAGGAAAATAATAAAAAGAACAGTGAAAGGGGAATTGCCTTACCGGCCATCAGAGGGTATTATAAAGCTGTTATGAAGTAAATATTGTATTGGTATGAGAATGAGAAATAGATCAGTGAAAGAGAAAAGAGGATCTAGAAATGGCCATGGATATGAGAATGTAATATACATCATATATCAAATGTGGGAGTTCAACTTAGTGGGAAAACAGTAAATTATTTTAAAAACAATACTGGCTGTCCCCCTGAAATAAAGTAAAGTTAAATCCCTATTTTATACCATGCACAAAAATACTTTCCCCAGAGAGTAAAGTCCTAACTGTACACAACAAGACGACAAATTATTGTAGAAGGAGGCTTCACGTATAATCCAAGGACAAGGAAACCTTAACAAGACCGGAAAACACAAGAGGCCATAGAATAAAGATACAGTTGACCACATCGTAAATGTGGTATGAACCCATAATATACACAATTATTATTTGTCAATTAAAAATAAAATAAAATAGCTACCCCAGAAATGTGTACAGTATTAAATATTCTAAGCAAATTCAAAATGCAAATGATAGATTTGGAAAAAATACTTGTAACCCAAACCACAAAGAATGTACTTATATCGAAACAGATTTTATAATTTGGCAACTCAATAGAAAAATGATGAAGGAATAAGAAAAGGCAATTTATAGAAGCACAAAAGCAGAGAGTCAACAAATGTACAAAAAGATGCTTGAATGTACTGTCGTTAGGGAAATGCAAATTAAAGCACTAATGAGACATCATATCATGCCTATCAGGCCTGCCAAAATTAAAGACAACTAAAACATATATTACAAAGTTGAAATGTAAATTGTACAGCATTTTGGGAAAGTAACGTAGCAGTATCTATTAAAATTTGAAATATACATACTTAGAAGAATAAGCAAATTGTGATATATGCATACAACAGGCCACTCAGCAATCAAAAGGAAAAAACTATGCTACGCTCAACAGCATGGTTGTATCTCAAAAACATGCAGACAAAATAATCCACATATAAAAGATTCCAGACTATATGATACCATTTATATCGAATTCCGGAACAGAGAAAACTAATCTACAGTATTAGAATATATGCATCAGTATGTTTAAATATCTCATTATTCAGGGTGGCAAAAAAGTGGGGGAAAATGAATCCTCATTAGTACAAAATGGGAAAATGAATCATGGATGTGTACTCCTAGACTAGCATACTGCCAATGAAGAAGAAAAGAATAGAGCTACACCGGTTGGCTTGGAGGGATTTCTATACGGTATGATTCATAAGTGAGTGCAGAAAAGCATTTATGATATAATCCATTTTGTGAAACGATGGTCGCAACCTCCGTATCAAAATGTGTACATATGTATACGCATGTGTGTGTTGTGGTCTGTACCTCATTATAGAAATACAAAGGAAAATATGGAAAACACCTATCAGGCATGTTAGCATGGGCTACACGTGGAGGGGAGGGAAGGAAAAGTGGAAGAAAGGGGCATGGAGCTAAAAGACTGAGCTAAAAACAACAGTATGTATGATATGATTACATGTGCACATTTATATAATTAAAATTTATATTTATAGAGGATTACTCAAGTAAATGCTGTCAATCTTGCAGATATTTTAAGTTTGGATTCAACTAGAACTTCAGAGCTCTGTAATTGGACTACATCATCTTGGTCCTTCTTTATCTTTACTGAATTGAACTCCAGCTCTCTCTATTTTACAGAGAAGAAACTAAAGCAGTAAAGCTGAATTGACTTGCCCAAATGAACACAGCTAGGAATTGGCCAAGCATGGATCTGAATCCGGGCAGTCTAACTCCACAAACCACACACAACCCTGGGTATTTGCTGAACGCCCTCTGAGGCTCTAGCAGAAAGGAATGAGGCAAAATTTAAGAGAGTGCCAAGAGACTCAGAAAGCAAAAGAAACAGCATTTAAAAAACATTAATGTTGAAAACATCCACATTGAACAAAAACATCAAAATTTTCAATCCAATCCCAGCTGCCTTGGAATTTTGTCTTTATTAACTTTTGATCTGTTTCTAATTATAGCTCTTTTGCATTAATTTTTATTTTAAAAAAGTGCATTAAAATATTATTTATATCAGTTTCTGAGTTTTTTCGTGTCCCTTAAATGTTGTGCTGGACCTGCTTGTCGCCATCATTTGGCCAGCAAGTGACACTAAGCAAAACCTGTGTAACTCAAAGGCTCAGATTTCTCTTACATAAAGTGGAAACGATAAGAGTTTCCCTGCTCACTGCGCCCACAGGATTAGGGTGAGAAACTAAGACGATGCGAATACAAAATTGCTAGTGCAACAGGCATATTCTTGCTACCGGAGTTGCTCATGAATGGATAAGCAAGTTGAATCCCCAGACCTGGTCGTGCTCCTGCATGCCCAGCGAGCCCACACCCATGGCTGGAAAATCGCCTGGAACCTAATGCGTGTTTGAATGGCAGCCACAGGAACCTTCCCCCATCATGCCCCCCTCTCCGCCGTTCCGAGCATGTGGTGCAAGAACAGATCTCTTAAGCTAGAGCAGTGCTTCTTCAACTTAACTGCAATATAAATCCCCCGGGGATCTTGTTAAAAGCCACATCAGTCAGTCCAGCGTGGGGCGCAAGGGTCTGCATGTCTAACAAGCCCCAGGTGATGCTGAGGTTACTGGTCCACAAGTCACAAGGCTTTCAGGACCGAGGAGCCAGGCTAGACGCTTGGTGAATGAATGGATCAGAAGGACTGTGAAATGCCCCCAAATAATGACAGCCCTCTCCACGCCAGGAACGGTTGTGCACAATCCTTAAAAGAGCCCTGGGAGCTCTCTGGGCTCGGATCTAGTTCGAGGCGACATGGTCAAACATACCAAGAAAGTCGGGATCGTCAGTAAATACGGGACCCGCTATGGGGCCTCCCTGTGGAAAATGGTGAAGAAAACTGAAATCAGCCAGCATGCCAAATACACTTGCTCTTTCTGTGGCAAAACCAAGATGAAGAGACGAGCTGTGGGGATCTGGCACTGTGGTTCCTGCATGAAGACAGTAGCTGGTGGAGGCTGGACATAGAATCCCACATCAGCTGTCATGCTCAAGTCCACCATCAGAAGATCAAAGGAACTGAAAGACCAGTAGACGCTCCTGTACTCTTTAAGACATCACTGGCCTATAATAAATGGGTTAATTTATGTAACAAAAACAACAAAGAGCCCTGGGACACAGGTTCTTTTATGAGGAAGCCCTCCAGCCAAAGACCACCAAGAATGCACTTCTAGTCATGCCCGGGTAGATTAATTCAGCTTGCTGCAGTAAGTGAGGGCACACACCAGGAACTGCGGGAGGGAGTGGGAGGGGCTTATTACGGGCTTGTACTGGGAGAGTCTAAGGAGGGGTTAAGGAATGGGTGGACAGTTTTAGACTGAGTGCAATCCAAGAGCAAGGGCGATTTGACGACTGGGGCTATCTTGATCATTTGTCCAGGAGGGTGGAAGATTAAAGTGGGCTAGGACTGCTGTGAAGAGAGAAGCAGTAGTCAGGTTAGTCAGAAGAGGGAGGAGTTTACGTTTGCGGTTGCAGAGTGCCCATCTCTCTGTTTCATGGCGGTCTGGTTGCTGGTTTGTTCCTACAAGGTCTTGGAGGGACCCTGTCTGATGATTGTTTTTATTTATGTGAGTGACGGTTATGTTCCCCTAAGAACATCACAGCTGGCATTGTCCTTTGACCTGAGCAAGCTGGGACCCTGTGCCTCTCAGGGCTCCTCACACTGGAGCAACTTCCTGGAATTTTCTGGATCCCTCCCTGCTGCCTGAGACTGGCCAGAGCTGGCAGTGCCGTCACACCAAGATGTTCTGAGTCCTGACTGAAACGTTCATTTCTCCCACTCAGAGCGCTCTCTGGATTTCTATTAGATTGGTGAAAAAGTAATCATGGTTCTTGTTATTAATTTCAATGGCAAAAGTTGTAATTACTTTTGCACCAACCAATATCTGAGCATGGGGTCACTGGATACCCTTAGGACTTCACACCCACGTGATCACCCATGGCCCTGTCTGGACACCTCCTCCAGGAGGGCAGCCTGGCAAGTGGCTTCAGCTGCCAGAATGGTCCTGCCATGCTTTAGAGAAACCCAAACTGTTCATACAGATGGGCCCCCATGAAAGTTATTTGCCTGGGACTTGGACATCCAACAACTAGACCTCATTCTAACCTAGCCAGCACTTGCTGGAACTATTTTCACTTTGTTGAATATTATCATTCTCATTATACAGAAGAGGAAACTGAGGTTCCCAGAGGTTAAGCAACTCCCCTGGAATTCCACAGCCGAGAAGCGGTGAAGCAGGGATTCCCACTGCTCTCACCTGCCGTGGTTCCTGCCATGCCTGGCTCACTCCAGAGCACCTCGGAGAGCTTCAGGCCCCTTGTCTGTGCTCCAGCTACCGCTGATGCTACCAAGGCTGTGCCTAGTTTTCAAACCGTTTAAATTGTTTTTTTTTTTCCCTGTGTGGTACTTGGAACTCTCCATGTGTTTCCCATGTTTTGCTCTTACCCCTCTTCCTCCTCCTGACTCTATGGTCTCTGGATTGCTTCCGATTAGGCGTCTCCCATGCTCCTTCTGAACCCCAGGCCAGATTTGCCACAGGACAAAGGAACACTCCAAATTCGTAAACTCTGGCTTTATGTGAACCCTGGGGACTGAACAACGAAGAATGTTCTGTCAAATGGCAGGAGGACTATCCAGATTGCTGGGGGCGGTGCTGATGTGAGCTGCAAGGAGGAGGCGCTGGGTGTGTGGGTAGAAATGTGCAATGTGTTAAGGCTTCTATTATGGGGTCAGCCCACCTAGTGTGGTCACCCTCCCCTCTGCCGATTTCAAGAGCTGGAGACAGAGGGAAGTCGGGCCATGACTAAGAAGCCTGGCGTCCTTTCAGTGGAGAAAGGTAGCCCTGTCACTTCAGTGGGATGAGGCCTGTTTCTTATTGTTGCAGAAGATTCCAGAACACAAAAGTATTAGAAGGCATGTCTGTGTGAGTCCAGCAGTCGGCCCACCCTAGAGGCGGTGTCTACAATGGGAGGAGCCTGGGCTTTGGGGTCCACTGACTCGGGCTGGAATCTTAGCTTTGTCTGTTTTTTAGCTGTGCAGCCCTGAGAAAGTTATGTAAGCCCTCCGTGCCTCACTTTCCTCATCTGAAGAGTGGAGATGAGAATGCTTTCCTCAAAAGGTTTTTGTGAGAATTGAATAAGGGGGTGTCAGCAGAGTCCTGGCACCTTGTAGCTATTATCTTTTTTTGTAAGGTTAGACCGTCTTAGCAAGGACAGTCTGAATTCATCGGCTGGCTCTCCTGGGTGTCACTTCAAAAACGTAAGGAAATCTCTCCCAAATACAGTTTATTTTTAAAAAATCAGTTGCAAATTAATCATCTATCAGTATATCTGGGTCCTTTGCACTCACTTTACATTTTCAGCCTGTATCATACCTGCAGGTAATAAAGTTCAAACGCACTGCAGCTTGTTATGTAACAGAGCGTTTTTCATGTATCCAGAAACTCCCACACTCCGCAGTTCAATGTCAAATCAGTCCAAGTTCATTCTCTTCATAACCTTCAGAACTTCCTAGAAGACACGTGAATATCTTCCTTTCCTCCTTTAATATTTTATTTGTCTCTCACCCAGTTTTTCCAGTAGTTAAAAAAAAAAAAAAAGTCTTAAAATACAACTGCAAAACTATTCCAGGCCTGAGCACAGCTTACAATTCATTTTTTAACCTCAGCATTTCTGTTCTGAAGGCCAAGAGATCTGCTGGCCGTTCAGAGGTAGCAGCAGCCACAGTGGAGGAGGTTTAGTTAGCAGCCCTCGTTTTGGGGTCAGTTGTGTCAGGTTTGAATCACGTCTCTACTGCTTCACGGTTAGCTGTGTGACTGTGTCTCATGTTAGGTGGCTATGATGTTAGTATTGGTCACAGAGGCTGGTGGGAGTCATTGGGCATGTATGGGGAGGTGCTCCGTAAGGCAGCAAAGGGCATGTGGCCAGGAACAGGAGCCGGGGGAGCTCTCGGTGCTGTCTTCAGCGGCCAGTCCACTTGAGAACAAGACCTCGCCCCTTTTGATTCAACTACAGCCAATTGCCTCTTTACTGACTTTCTGTTTTTGTTTTAAGATGGAGTCTCGCTCTGTCACCAGGCCAGAGTGCATTGGTGTGATCCTGGCTCACTGAAACCTCCATCTCCTGGGTTCAAGTGATTTTCCTCCCTCAGCCTCCTGAGTAGCTGGGACTACAGGCAGGCACCACCACGCTCAGCTAATTTTTGTATTTTTAGTAGAGATGGGTTTTCACCATATTGGCCAGGATGGTCTTGATCTCTTGACCTTGTGATCTGCCCACCTTGGTCTCCCACAGTGCTGGGATAACAGGCGTGAGCCACCATGCCCGGCCTTTACTGACTTTCTGACCTCTGCATGTTATTCATTTTGCATAATATTATTGCCCATATCTGTTCCTAAAATGTTGCTTTTATCTTGTTGTCCTCAAAAAAATCTTGTAACATTCCCTCTTGCTGAGTCTTGTTTTTAGAGCCCTGCATGCAACAGCGCCCCTCCCTTCTTTGCCTCTCCATCCTCTACCTCTCTTCAAACCGTGGAGGATGCTAGATGTTTAGAGATGCCCACAGGACTGTGACTCAGCCTGCAGACTTAGGGAGCTCTCAGTCTTGGTGAGCAATGCATGTTGCCCCAGAGTCCCCATGGGAGAAACACCTCCCCCCAGCAAAGCTGGCATCTGAACCATGGAGGAATGCTTCAGTCCAGGAGTTCCTAGTGTGAACAGAGGTCTCGTTGGGCAGTAGCGAAGTCAGAAGAGCTGAGAATCCCTGGGAAGTAAGGACACAATAAAAAGAGAAGATGATGCAGGACTCAGCATCTGGAAGCCAAGAGGCCTGGAGAAGGTGGAGCCTGGAATGCAAGTGGGGCAGTGGGAAGAGTCGCCAGGACATCTGGCTGAGGCCAGCAGATGCAGGGCTCCCTAGGCCGGGCCCAGGGCTTTGGCTTCTACCTTCTAGGCAGTGGGAGGTTATTGAACATGTTTAAGCCAGGATGTAACATCATGTAATTTCCAAAGAAAAGATCAGTTTAATGGTTGTAAAAGGATTTCATGGTTATTACAGAGAATTGGAAAAATATAGAAAAAAACTAGAAAATAAAAATCCTATGGCCCAGAGTTAAACATTATTGTATAACAATTGAATAAGGATAAACAGGATTGATAACATTACTGTATTCTTATTATCTCTCCCCCGCCCCATCATAGCTACTGTGTAATGGGTGCTAATTACGTGTCAGGCTCTGTTACAAGGGCTTGCTTTGTTTAATCCTCACAACACCGCTGTGCTGTAGGTCAAATGCTGATTCCCATTTACAGATGAGGAAACGTTCAAAGCCTGGGTCGCATAGTTGGAAGTGGCGGCGTACGACTCCAGGCCCAGACGAGCAGCTCCAGCGCCTGTATTCTGAATCCCTGGGCCACACTGCTGCGCGGGGGCCACACTGCTGCGTGGGGGTCACACAGCATAGAACCAATACACACATGCATGAGTAGATGAACAGTTTTGTTTAAGATAGAGTTTGGCATCCTAATATTCTGACCTGGGTTGTCAAAAGAGAATTTTGGTAAGAGCAGTAAGGAGCTTGTGTTGGTGGGGAGTGGTTTACAGAGAGGAGGTAGGAGCGACAAGTGTGGTGGCCACAGCAGGGGTCCAGAGAAAAGAGGTCTAAAGGATAAAGTCCAGTGGTCCAGAGGAGACAGGGTAGATGAGTGAGGGTAGAGAATGAGTGTGGCTGAGCACAGTAGCTCATGCCTGTAATTTGCACTTAGGGAGGCTGAGGTGAGAGGATTGCTTGAGCCCAGGCGTTCAAGACCAGTCTGGAAAATATAGTGAGACGTCATCCCCACAAAAAATTTAAAAATTATCTATGCATGATGCCACCCACCTATAGTCCCAGCTACTGGTGGGGCAGGTGGTGGGGGAGCCAGGCAGTGAGCCGTGATGGTGCCACTGCATTCCAGCCTGGGTGACAGAGCGAGACCTTGTCTCTGAAAAGCAAACAAATAGGAATGAGAGTGAGAGGGGATGGAGGCATGGATGCAAGAGACCCTCAGGGGGTAGGAATGACCTTGATGAGCCTGTGTGTGAGCAAATGCACA